CTACGTATGTGACAAAGTGACATAGAGATATGCCCACAAATGGTGTCAACATCAATTTCCCAAATTTGATATTATGTAAAATACAATTGCTGGAGGAAACTGGGTAAACCTCTCCGTACCATTTTTGCAACTTCTCGTGAATCTCTGTCTCACAATAAAAATTTTTTTTAAAGAAAAAAATACTTTTTAAGAAAAAGCAATGGGCATTTTTATTGCATTACGTTAAATTTATAAATTAACTCAGGAGAATAATGTGTTACTATCCAATAATAAGAAATATATTTAAATTTGCTTGTCTATTTTTGCGTCTTTGAATTTAAAGTTTTCTCATAAAAGCTGTTGTTTCTAGTTAATTTGTTATTTCTAAGTATTTTTTTGTTTCTGCTGTTAATGGAGGAGTCCAGTAACCAATTATTGTATTTGCTAAATCAAGCCTATTAATTCTTGGAAGTTAATTTAATACCCTGCTACCATACTGACATATTTGAAGTTAATCTTATAGAATAGGGCTTTCCAAATGTACCATCATATCATCTACAAATAGAAATAGTTTTACTTCTTCGTTTCCAACTATTATTCTTCTATTTTCCCTCATTTAAATGTATTAGCAAATCCTCCCAGTACAATTTAAATAGTAGCAGAGATCCTAGGCATTCTGTATCCCTGCCTTATTCTTGATCTTAGTGAAATGCCTTATTATTTCCCCACTAAGATGCAAGCTTTAAGACTGATGGAATTCCTAATATTGAACTATGGTTGAATTCCTAGAATATATCCCACTTGGTTATGCTATATTTTTCAATGTATGAATTCTATTTGACAGTATTTTACGAATGATTTTTGCATTGGAATTTATAAGGAAAACCATTTTATGTTTTTATTTCTTCTCCTCCCACTGTAAAATAATGGAACCTGCTTAGAGAGTCTATGTTTTCAGAGGGGGGGGAGCACCTGGGTGGAGTAGTCAGTTAAGCATCTGACTCTTGGTTTTTGCTCAGGTTGTGATCTCAGGATTGTGAGATGGAGCCCTGCATTGGGCTCCACACTCAGAGTGGAGTCTCCCAGAGATTCTTTCTCCCTCTTCCTCTGCCCCTCCCAATTGTGCACTCTCTCTCTCTCTAAAATAAATAATTAAATCTTTTTTTAATTTTTTTTATTTATTTATGATAGTCACAGAGAGAGAGAGAGAGAGGCACAGAGACATAGGCAGAGGGAGAAGCAGGCTCCATGCACCTGGAGCCCGATGTGGGATTCGATCCCGGGTCTCCAGGATCGCGCCCTGGGCCAAAGGCAGGCGCCAAACCACTGCACCACCCAGGGATCCCAATAATTAAATCTTTAAAAAAAAAAAAAAAAGAACATGGGGATCCCTGGGTGGCTCAGCGGTTTAGCACCTGCCTTGGTTCTGCCCAGGGCGTGATCTTGGAGTCCCGAGATGGAGTCCCACATTGGGCTCACTGCGTGGGGCCTGCTTCTCCCTCTGCCTGTGTCTCTGCCTCTCTCTCTTTCTCTCTCTCTGTGCCTCTCATGAATAAATAAATAAAATCTTTAAAAATAATAAAATGAAATAAATAATTTAAAAAAGAACAGTAAAGCAGAGTCAGAAAGGTTAAAAGTATAATTGGAAGTGTTTGAAGGTATTAGCACTTGGGGAAGGTGGCAAAAGTGATTGTATTAGACTATATTAAGTAAAAGACTCATAATCTATTTATTCATGAGAGACGCAGAGAGAGAGACATAGGAAGAGGGAGAAGCAGGCTATTCACAGGGAGCCCAATGCAGGGCTCCATCCCAGGACCCTGGGATCACACCCTGAGCCCAAGGCAGACACTCAACTACTGAGCCACGTAGGCATCCCATGGACTCAAAAGAAAGAAAGAAGAAGAAAGAAAAAGAAGAAAAGAAGAAAGAAAGAAAGAAAGAAAGAAAGAAGAAGAAGAAAGAAAGAAAGAAAGAAAGAAAGAAAAAAGAAAGAAAGAAAGAAAGAAAGAAAGAAAGAAAGAAAGAAAGAAAGATGAAAGAAGAAAGGAAGGAAGGAAGAAAGGAAGAAGAAAGAAAGAAATCAGGGCAGAAAACTAAAGAGAATTTCACCAGAAATTCTTTGGAATTTCTTTGGATTTTTCTAAATTCCTGGGATAAAGTATTTAAAAAGTAATTTTTAAAATGCCTTTTTTTTCTTTTGGTAAATGAGAGTGACTTGGAAATCCCTTAGAGCTGGTGTTAGGATTCAAGAGCCTGGATAATCCAGACTCAGTGAGCTAAACAAGCAACCAGCGAAAGGCTGTTGTACAATTGTCTTATCTGCATCTGCCAAATTTGTTTTACAATCTTAAGAAGCCTCTTCCTAATCCCCTGCTAGAGAAAGAATTATGAGGATGCCTATCTCAGGGAATGGTACAGAATCAGCCACTTTCCTATTTACCCTCTTTGAAGGGATACTTAAATCCAGTTCTAAAATTAAATAATCCTACTTCATGACCAGAGTCATAAAAATTGAGTGGGGCTGGAGGTACGCAGTTCCATGATTGGACAGACTTAACCAAATGAAGAAAAATAGAAAAGAAATGAGAAAATACATCCAAAGGCTTTGTGTATCATCCGTCAAACTTTCCTGCAGCCCTATCCTCCTTTATTCATATCTCTTAAACATCACTTCTATGACTTTGCCATTACTGTTAATTTAACCTAATTCACATAAATCTAGAGGAAAGGAATACATCATAAGTGATTTACCACAGCCCTAAACCCTGGCCTTGAGAGTGTGTTATTTTCTCCCTAATTAGGTCATATATACCAAGGAATTCCTTTGAGGCTTATCTGAAATCATGGGCAGATCTCTCAACTTCCATCAAAAGAGAATATGCCCCTTCCTGATCTCTTGACCTTAATTCTCTAATACAATTCTCTAACAAATTTGTCTATGCATATACTTATGGGACATGATACAGGAATGATCTTCAGAGTGTTAAATGTAACTGATAAATTATTGAACAGTACATCTGAAACTAACAATATGTTGGCTAATTGAGATTGAATCTTTACAAAAAGGAATGATCCTCAGGCAAGGGAGGTCATAATGGACAGCAGATCTGGACTTCCTTTTTTTCTTTTTAGCACCATGATCACTTTCATGGAAGAGCAAAAAAGTATGGTCTATCTAAAAACAATCCTCTAGAAGTGATTAGCATTACTTCTTACCTAACCTTCCTTTTCTTGGAGCATTTTATTCTGTTTTTCTCAGGGCTTCGAAAAAATATACAATAAAAAATAGGGAAAATCAACAATTAACAAGATGTACATTTAATACACAAGGACCTACTATGGTCCCAATCCTGGGTATCTTAACAATAATAGTTACTTAAGAACAGCTTTTTTGTTTTCTAAAATCCTACCAGAGCTGACTACTTCAGGAAAGAGATGCATTAACTCATCTTCTCTTTTGTAAATATTATGGACTTTTGCTTCTCCCCCATCCATCATTTTGTGAAGCAACAGTTGGATCTGGGGCACAGATACCAAGGCATAGAAATGGTGTAGGGCAGACAATAGATCTGGTAGTCCCTGCTATCTGAGTTCTCTTACTTTGTGCAACATGTTAACTCTGCTTGTAGTTTCTTCTATAAAATGAGCAGAATATCCATTTTGAGATTGTTGGGAAGATTAGAGATAAGGTATACATGTATATAAAGTATAATATATTGGGGCAGCCCTGGTGGCTCAGTGGTTTAGTGCCACCTTCCGCTGGGGGTGTGATCCTGGAGACCCGGAATCGAGTCCCCTGTCGGGCTCCCAGCATGGAGCCTGCTTCTCCTGCTGCTTGTGTCTCTGTCTCTGTCTCTCTCTGTGCCTCTCATGAGTAAATAAATAAAATCTTTAAAAAATAATAGTATAGTATATCGTACTTAAAACCTTCCAAATATTTCACATAGAGAAAAACCTAAACTCCTCACCATGGTCTACATAGGCTAAATATGCTCTGGGCCCAGGTTGGCTCTTAGATCTCATCCCCATCTCACACCATCTTCCAGGCACATTGACTTCCTTTATGTTCTTCATACAATCTAAGATTGTCCCCATATCTGTGTTTTTGCTCTATATCCAGCATCCTCTAACTCCAGAACTTCACGCGATGCCTTTCTCCTGTCATTCAGATCTCTGAGAGGCATTTTCTGATCACCCAATCTAGAGGAGCACTCCCCTGGAAACTTTCTCTCATCACAGCTTTTTTTTTTCCTTTTACTTCATATCAGTTAACACTACCTGAATTATCTCACTCATTTATTTGTGTTTTTACAAGGGCAGAAAATGTGTGTGTCTTGTTTCTCATTCTCTAACAGTACCAATCTCTTCCTAGAATCTTCCCAATGCCCAGATCTTTCCTTTCTGAGTGTTTTACCATTCCACAGCCAGTAAGCTGCATTTTGGAGTGGGCCCAGACTAACCTAGAATTTAAAATCCTGATTAGTCTCATTCATTTGGGGAATATAACTAATAGTGAAAGGGAATAGAGGGGAAGGGAGAATAAATGGGTAGGAAATATCAGAAAGGGAGACAGAACATGAAAGACTCCTAACTCTGGGAAACGAACTAGAGGAGGGTGGGTGGCAGGCACTGAGGGGGGCACTCGACGGGATGAGCACTGGGTTGGGTGTTATTCTGTATGTTGGCAAATTGAACACCAATAAAAAATAAATTTATTATTAAAAAAATAAATAACAATAAAATAAAATCCTGATTAGTCCTCTTCACAACATGTAACCTGGCCTCATCCTAACATAGACAGTGACTCTCATTTTTTTTAATGACACAAAGCTGCTTTTACCCAAGGGAGGGTCTGAACAGTTCAGCATCCATTTTTGGCCCAGTTACCCACAGGCACTGGTGTCAGATACCTCTTCCAAATGGAAGACAGAAATTAGGCAGGGCTTGGGAGTGTAGTCTGTTATTCTTGGAATATTTGAATATGCTTTGAGTGGAGCAGTATAAATAAAGAGACATAGCCAAGGAGAAAGTGTTATATTTAAAACTCCTCCCCTTCATTTTCTTCTTCAAATGAATCAGTCCCCACTTCTTCATAATCCTTCTCCAGTGCAGCCAGGTCCTCCCTGGCCTCAGAAAATTCTCCTTCTTCCATTCCCTCTCCAACATACCAATGCACAAAGGCCCGCTTGGCATACATGAGATCAAACTTGTGGTCCAGGCGGGCCCAGGCCTCTGCAATTGCTGTGGTGTTGCTGAGCATGCAAACAGCCCTCTGGACTTTGGCCAGGTCCCCTCCTGGTACCACAGTGGGAGGCTGATAGTTGATGCCCACCTGAGGAACAGAAAAAGAAGAGGAGTAACAAAAGAAAATGCAGAGCAGCCAAAGGATAACTCAAGATGGGGTTATCTTGGTAACATGGTGTGGTAGCAAGACATAGTCATGGGTTGGGAATGGGAGCAGGCCTGGATGTGAAAAGAGGGAATCAAGAGGTTGGAGAAACAGACAGGTAAAGAGAGGTAAGTGGTGAAGAGAAATTAAAAGTGAGTGGAATGAGGTGCAGGCAAATTCAAGAGAAGGGCTATAAAATCTAAAGACTGCAAAATACTAGGTGGAATTTAAATTAAACGTTGGAAGAAAAAACTGCAAAAGAAAAGGGTGAAAGAGCTGGTATAGGTAGAAATGTTAGTGGAGGGATTCAAGTAGACAAATGAGAGTAATGAATGAGATTATTGTTAGGAAGGGTGTACAATATATGTTTATCTTGAAAAGGGAAATAGGTCCCCTTTAGAAGCAAATTAATTTCTAGACTTGGTTTATTGTTTTATGCATGGTCATCTAAAGTTTCTCTTAGTTATACGGTCAGCAAATTTAGGTAAGTTTCTCTACCAACAGTAAAGGGCTGTTTAAAAGATCATGGAGATAATGCAGAGTGATAAATTTAAAAATCTAAAAGGTCCTAGAGATGGTGTTAGTGTTAACCAGGCCCCATATTTCAGGGGAGGAAGGCTTGTTAGACGAAAAACAAGGACTTCAGTCAAAGAAAGTTAATTAAAACTCTTGCCTGAACAAGCCAACTTCCCAAGATCTGGTAGCATGGCAGGGTCCTCTAAGCTAACCTTAACCCCATCTGATGTTAGGGATCTAAGAAATCTCCCTTCTGCTCATACACATATCACAAACCAAAGCCAATCCCAGAAACTGTAGAAATTTGGAAGAACTCTAAGGTGACAAATTATGATAATATTTATGGGACACTAAGAACCACAGTTCTAACCAAAAAATACCCCTCCTACCCAGGTCATCATGCCTTGTCAGCCTCTCAATTTTATAGCATTAAAATGTATTTCCTCTTGAGAGATGTAGTTGGGAGTTGCAACAGGCTATATAGCCAAGGTGGGTAGCCCATGAAATGACTTTGCAATTATCTATCATTCCTCTTAGACAAAAGTAGCATCTTGGTGGTGGAAGTGATGCTGAGCCAGGGGCAAAGGACCAAAAATGAGAAGAGGAAGGGCAATGAATATAAACTTTGCTGCATCACATATTTTGCTAGATCTGACCCTGACCAGCAAAAAACTTTGTGCCTGGAGCCAACTCTTCTCTCTCGAACAGTAATTATCCCTTCAACTGAGTCAAGTAGGGACAAACTCCTTTGAGTAGGTTATGAGAGGATGAAGTTCAATAGCATGTGCCTTTCTGAAAAGCAGCTAAAGATGCTAGTACTACCTATCTTTCTGGACATAATCCCCAAACTTCAGCTTAAAATAACAGAGTCAGAGTAAGAGGCATCTCCTTTTTGTTTACTTCCCCACCACCCTCACATCTCATTTCTTTTATCCTATTCATTTTCCTACTAGCTCACTTTGTTGTTTGTTTCCATTTTAAAAATTTAAAAAGAACTCCATATTTTGGAAGATCTTGACAGTTTTCACAAGAATGACCAAAACTTACCCATAAAAATTGGTGTAGTCTAGAGGGAAAAGATTGTGTATATAGGTAGGAGTACAGCAGTGAGGAAAAATCCTACAAAAGGAGATCAGCTACTAGGGTCAACGCTCCATATGCAAATAGGTCAGTCAAGAGAGTGGCACATGGTACCTTGTTTTTATAAGTCCCATCAAGGAAAAATAGAAATGCTCATCTCCATATCTGTAGCAGCTGGTATAACTACCCCTAGTGCTGAGTGAGCCTCTTAAATTATTAGCATGACTGGGGGTTACTAATTAATGTAAATGATGGTAGTTATTTTGATAGTAGAATCTCATTAAAGACCATGGAGGGAGGGCAGCCCCAGTAGCTCAGCGGTTTAGCGCTGCCTTCGGCCCAGGGCGTGAGCCTGGAGACCAGGGATGGAGTCCCACATCAGGCTCCCTGCATGGAGCCTGCTTCTCCCTCTGCCTGTGTCTCTGCCTCTCTCTCTCTCTCTCTCTCTCTCTCTCTCTCTCTCTCTGGCTCTCATGAATAAATAAATAAAATCTTAAAAAAATAAAAAGACCATGGAGGGGCACCTGGATGGCTCAGTTGGTTAAGCGTCTGCCTTCAGCTCAGGTCATGATCCCAGAGTCCTGGGATGGAGCCCTGCATTGGGCTCCTTGCTCAGCCGGGAGCCTTCTTCTCCCTCTCCCTCTGCCTGCTGCTTGTGCTCTGTGTCAAATAAATAAGTAAAATCTTAAAAAAAAAAAAAGACCATGGGAAGACAGGACAAAGTGGTCAAGCAGTTCACATGCACAGAGCATTACCTTGTGCTCTCAGCTGCATTACCTTGCCAGGGCAACTCAAAGGAGTGGCTTCTAACATTCAACATCTACTAGTTCTAAGATCCATGGTTTTTCTCTGGCTATTATATCTACCCACTGACCCTCAGAGTCTGAGGCATTTTCTAGATTGCAGACACCTGCTCTACAACAGGCTTCCTCAGCTTCTGCTTATTCCTGGTTAACGGAAAATGTTGGGGCTTCACAAAATAAGTGATTCACAATCCTATAGTACACATATAATTTCTTATCCTCACTCTAAGTTAATTGAGACTTACAGGAAAAATATTTAATTTTTCAAAATAAATTGGAGAGGAACACATCTTTTGTTAAAGGAGGGAATTATACCTCTTTGGTAATTTGAATCATTTGGTTAACTCCGTTCTCTAATCTATTGTCAGATAACAACTACCTCTGCTCATTCATCCTGTACATCCCACTTGCCTGCAAGGGTTTTTTCTAGCGTGTTCACTCTTCCTTCTTAGAGAAAGCCCTTCTCTAACTGACCTTTGGGATACTTGCAGATATTAGGGTAGGAACAGTTGGCACTTTCTCCCTCTGTTGTATTGTCCCTCTGAGTATTGCAATTGTTCTCCTCCCCTTCTCTCAATTATCCTTTCAAATAGTCTCTTCCTTACCTAAAATGAATGAATTAATGATATCATGGTTATATGTGTATTAAGCCTTCTTCCCATGTCATCCTGTGAAGCCTGAAGCTCCCATGGAATTTTATGTCTAACATCCTGGAATTTACATGTATTTCTCCCCCATCTCCTTCTGCTTCTCTAATTGTCTATCTTCTCCCTAAGTCAAGTCATCAGCTCTCACCTTGAAGCCTGTAGGACACCAATCTACAAATTGAATAGTCCTCTTGGTCTTGATGGCGGCAATAGCGACATTCACATCCTTAGGCACCACATCCCCCCGGTAGAGCATGCAGCAGGCCATGTACTTCCCATGTCTTGGGTCACACTTCACCATCTGGCTGTTGGGCTCAAAGCAGGAGCTGGTTATCTCAGCCACAGAGAGTTGTTCATGATAGGCTTTCTCAGCAGATATGATGGGTGCATAAGTGACCAGTGGGAAGTGGATGCGGGGGTAGGGCACCAGGTTGGTCTGGAACTCAGTGAGGTCCACATTAAGGGCCCCATCAAAGCGGAGAGAGGCAGTGATGGAGGACACAATCTGACTGATGAGGCGGTTGAGGTTGGTATAGGTGGGGCGCTCGATGTCTAGGTTCCTGCGACAGATGTCATAGATGGCTTCATTATCCACCATAAAAGCACAATCTGAATGTTCCAGTGTGGTGTGGGTGGTCAGAATGGAGTTGTAAGGCTCCACCACTGCAGTGGAGACCTGAGGAGCTGGGTAAATAGCAAACTCTAGCTTGGATTTCTTGCCATAATCCAAGGAGAGGCGTTCCATCAACAGAGAAGTGAAGCCAGAGCCAGTGCCCCCACCAAAACTGTGGAAGATGAGGAAGCCCTGCAAGCCAGAGCAGGCATCTGTCTGGGGAGAGTAGAGCATGAGAAAAAAACCATGGAGACAAGTTTATGAAAATATCTTTATGTGAACAAAGGCAGGCAATCCTCTCTATCTGCCCCACTCTATTCCTCAACATTTTTATGTAGGTAAAATAAAAACAGCCTTGAAGTAGTAAAATAAAAAGGAATTGAGTTGATCTGGAGAGAACTAGCTAAAATATATTGGGTGGCAAACTGTACAAGTATATGCCACTAGGTACATATACGGTTCCAGCCCAGTGACTTGGTTGAATCAGGAATAAGAGTGTCAGAACCACAATGGTTAACGACTTTGCCCTTTGAGAACCCCAAATCCTTGCCCATTTTCCCTGCCCTTGTCACTGGTTTTGTGGGAACTTGTGACTATACATCTCAGCCAGCCTTGAAATGTGGCTCGGGGTATCAATTTCAGACATATATATGGAGTTAGAAAACCTGAGTTTTAATATCAATTTTGTCATTTCCCAGCTGTAAAAACTTGAGCAAATTATTGAACCTCTCCAGATTTCTGTCTCTTCCTGACTGAAGTAGGGCAATAACAAAATACTCATCTCACAAGGTTATTGTGATTATCAAATGAGATAGCATGATATGCTGAGCAAGTACTTGACATGTAGTAAGCACTCAATGTTAGCTCTTATCAGAACGAAGAGAATCCATAACAGTCACAAATTTTCCCATTGGGTATGATCTATGATATTGGTTCTGAACTTTTGGAGCCCACAGACAGCTTTGAGACAGATAATTCCTACGAGCTCTCCACTAAGCAGAAAAAGTGAACAAAGGGATGCCTGGGTGGCTCAGCAGTTTGGTGCCTGCCTTCAGTCCAGGGCGTGATCCTGGAGTCCTGGGATCGAGTCCCACATCAGGCTCCCTGTATGGAACCTGCTTCTCCCTCTGCCTTTCTCTCTGTGTGTGTGTGTCTCTCATGAATAAAGGAAAGAGAAAGAAGAAAGAAAAGAAAGAAAGAAAAAGTGAACATATACAAAAATTTGGCATCCTTAGCTCCCAAGAACCACTGACCAAGTCCAACCATTTCCATTGTAAAGATAAGGAAATGAAAGTTTGAAGAGATAAACTGGCCCACCCTATAACTCACAGCTTTTTAATCATACAACCGGATTCAAATCCCAACTCTACCACTTTCTAATTGTGTGACTGAAGCTAAATAATTGAGCCACACTGGCCCTCAATTTCTTCACCTGTAAAGTACAGGAAAATGACTTTCTCTGTATCATCGTTATGGGAATTAAGTGAAGGAATGTATTTAATTGACATTTGTAATGGTATTTTTAAGTTCTCAAATGTATCAACAATCTCTTCCTCTTCTCTTCCAAGTTAAATTCTTTGTTAACTTATGCTTTCAACAAGCAAAGAGCTAGCTTTCCTTACTTATATCTAGAATTTCCCCCAGATACTACCATAGGGTATCAATAAGAATTGGTAGGGCATCAACCTGTAGGGTAGTTCATAATGTCCAGGTGAAGAAAGGGGCATCATCCCTATGAATGCTTCTTATAGAACATAAGCAAAAAGTCTCAAATCTTAAGAGCTCTATTCTGTAGCTAGGTGTCATGTGCCTTCACTAATTCTGTTCAGACTTAGCCTATCCATTTTAGCCTAAATCATCAATTCCCCACCCTTGTTAATACTTACCAGCTTCCGTATACGATCCAGCACCAGGTCGATGCTCTCCTTGCCCACTGTGTAGTGGCCCCGGGCATAGTTGTTAGCTGCATCCTCCTTCCCTGTGATCAACTGCTCTGGATGGAAGAGCTGGCGGTAGGTTCCTGCCCGAACCTCATCTACCAAGGGACAGAAACCATCAGGTCTTTCTACCTTGTTTCTAAAGAAGTGTCCCTCATTAAATATCATATAATACTTTTCTGGGTCTCCATTTCCTCTGCCTATAAAACTCCACTGAGGTAGAACCAGACAACCCTATAATAAATCTGCAAAAATGGGCAGGCCAGGTGGCTCAGCGGTTTAGTGCCACCTTCAGCCCAGGGCCTGATCCTGGAGACCTGAATCGAGTCCCATGTTGGGCTCCTTGCATGGAGCCTGCTTCTCCCTCTGCCTGTGTCTCGGCCTCTGTGTGTGTGTGTGTGTGTGTGTGTGTGTGTGTGTGTGTGAGGTGAATAAATAAATAAAATCAGTAAAATAAAAAAAATAAATCTGCAAAAGGTTAAGAGAATTCCAGGGTAACATAGGCACTAATTGAATCAGAAGCCTGTGACTCAAATAGGCAAAGAGAAGCCAGCTGCTCTGCTGGCAGGAACTTTTAAAAGCATCAGGTTCACAAAGTTCACGAAACATCAAAGCTAAGTGCCCTGGCTTCCTTCTACTTTGACCCCTCAAGTCTTCCTTTTGTTTTTCATGCTGCAAGGTTACCCAAAACTTTAACCCAATTTAACTTGCACTAAAATGCCCTAGGTACACAGATAAAAATTCCAAGTAATCTGCTCTCTGATGAATTGTTCTATCCCTAACCAAATAAATGTCAGGCATTAGGCATATTTTAGGATGATCTTAAAGCAGAACCATGCTCCAGGTTCTAGAAGAGCAGGAGCCCTAGAGAGGGTGGCTATTCAGCTCACCTCCAAGAGTCCACACAAAATAGATATATGGCAGACCAAGATGTATCAAGCCCCAGCTACATGTCCTCTTTTCTTCAGAGTTATTCTAATCTCCTCACCCCAAGAAAATCAGTCATTTACACAGTTGTCTGGGGGAGTAATCTGTACATTTTGTATTTAGACAATGTATCCAAGGGCTGTATACCTATAGTCTGTTGTCCCTGGAAATTAGTGTTCAGGCATTACAGACCTTAGCCTAGATATCTCTGTGAAACGTACCTATTCCTTGTTTGGTGAACCAGCCTTGAGGCTGAGGAAATCCTGATGTTGAGCTGAGGACTGACCCAGGAGTCCAGGGAAGTGATGTAGGGGGTGAGGGGGACCTCAGGGGTAAGGTGAAGCACTAAGAACCTGTACCAACACAAGTCAGAATTCCTGTTTTCTAGGATCCAGAAGAGGTTCATTCTGGAACTACAGCAACTTCTGGCTGTAAGACAATGTGTCTGCTCTTACTCCATTTTGTATAAGGTAATACAAGGTTATATCAGACCCATGGGAAAAGACTGCAATTATTATGAAATCAGAAACCCTATGCTTTGGAAAATTGACTATTTGGAGACCTCTTACAATTCTTAAAATTATTATTTTTATTTTTTTACTCTTAGTATCTAGTAAAGAATCTTGACTAAAAATTTAAATCTTTCTTAGCAGGTTAAGGAGTTTAAGTATAGGTTCTTTCGTTCTGCATAGGTTACAGCTAAAATGGGGGAGCAGAGATCTGTGATTTCTATCGTATCTGGAGACTCCAAAAGACTGGAGATTTCAAGGATCTAACAGAAGTAAATGTGGGGTGGGGAGGTTCTAGTTGAGCCACTCCCACCCTCCAATTAGAGATTCTGCTTCCTTAGCTATCATGGACCAAAACCTCTGCAGCTTTATGTTGTTTTCTGTGGAAAGGATCCTAGCCCATACTCACCTACAGCCCATACTCACCTACTACAGTAGGCTCCAGATCTACCATGACAGCCCGAGGCACATGTTTCCCATTACCAGTCTCACTGAAAAAGGTGGTGAATGAGTCATCATCATTGACCTTGCTGCCTTGGACACCAAAGGTGCCATCTGCCTGGATGCCATGTTCCAGACAGAAGAGCTCCCAGCAGGCATTGCCAATCTGAACTCCTGCTTGACCCACGTGGACTGATATGCATTCCCGCTGTGAGGAAAATGCAGAATCAAGGTCAAAGAGTCCTACACCTTCGTCATGGCTTTATGCTATATCCTGCACATCTGAAGACTTGTCTGTCTCTGGCATCCAACTCTCAGGATATCCATCCCTCCAACCATGCCATTTAGAACCAGGTGGGGTTTGACGTGTCAGGTGTCTGGGTACCAATGCATCTGGACTGAGACTTGGCTCAACAGGGGGTTAATTCAAAACCATGAATTCTTGTACTGATGAAGGAGGTCAAAGGATGAACAAATGATAACAGCAGAAACTGTCCATAAATTCACTACCATACACAGTGATAGTATTTGTATTCATGCCTAGGCCTTCCTAAACAACATCACCTCTCCTGTCCCCTTTCTCTCTCTTTCCTTCCATTCATCTCTCTTCCTCTCCCCCTCTCTCCCTCTTTCTCTCATGCACACACACACACACACACACACACACACACAAACACACAGTCTCAGAATATCATAGAGCAGATAAACACTAATGAATATACTTTGTAAATAGGTATCATGGGTGTCTTTAGTGTTCTGGTTACAAATGTAGAAGAAGAAAGGATTTACATCAGCAAAGGAGAATTGGGAGTATATAAATGAGCTCTTCTTAAACTCTGATAAGTTGGAAAACTTATTTATAGCCACCATAACCTGCTCCCTTGCCTATGTCAGGCCAAGTATTAAAGGGGACCTTTAGAAGGTCCTTACCTCTTTGTTACTCTGGTGTGAAGTCATGATTACCTGATTGATCCCAGTGCTAATAGTTGAGGATAAGGATGGGTGTCTGTGTGTGTGAGAGAGAGAGAGAAAGAGAGAGAGTATGAATGTGTGTGTTTGAACAGAAGCTGGGGTTTTACCAGGAAGTATGGCCTCATCACCTCCACATAACCCACCTGTGAGGAAGCATGGCCAGCACAAAGTGGCCCTGTGCACATGATGCCTCCTAAAGCCCAGCTGGGAAGCATGTGCTTGGTCCGTGGGTTTCTATTCTTATCCATGACGTGACCTGGCATTTTCCAGCACTAGGTAACCCAGGCCAGAGCAGAGCCTCTAGAGGATTTGGCTGGGCACTGAAACACATGGAGTCAGAGGGAACTTGGACGTTCTTTGGCCATGGGAACAGGGCAGCTGCCCTAATAACTCAAAGAGTCAGAGATTCCAGGACTCATTACCTCCTAATTTGATTTTAGAACTGAGACCTACCCTACACCTGTCTTTATGCCCTTGCCTTGGGGACCACAGAGCACAGGTGTTCACAGCAACCAGTATGAAACATATCTCTTTCTGGAAATACAACCCAGCTATATTTCTGTGAGTCTGATGGCCAGGGAAAGGCTTCACTCACAAAGTTGTCCACACCCCAGGGTTTAAATTGCACCTTCTCAATTTACTTATGCTGTGTGACCTTGGCTGAGTTACTTAACTTCCTCTCATCTGGAAATTAAAAGTTAGCCATGATTATTGTTGTTTTTGCCTTTACCATTATCATTTTCATTATGATACTACCTTGTAGCTTTATTCTGCACCCAGAAGAAACAGGAGTGGAAAGTTAGAGACCCCAGGTTCCCATTCCACTCACCCCTACTCTGAGGTCTATTTTCTGCCTTCACCTTACGTCTTTTTTTTAATAAATTAATTTTTTATTGGTGTTCAATTTACCAACATACAGAATAACACCCAGTGCTCATCCCGTCAAGTGCCCCCGTCAGTGCCCGTCACCCACTCATCCCCACCCCCCGCCCTCCTCCCCTTCCACCACCCCTAGTTCGTTTCCCAAAGTTAGGAGTCTTTATGTTCTGTCTCCCTTTCTGATATTTCCCACACATTTCTTCTCCCTTCCCTTATATTCCCTTTCACTATTATATATATTCCCCAAATTAATGAGAACATATAATGTTTGTCCTTCTCCGACTGACTTACTTCACTCAACATAATACCCTCCAGTTCCATCCACGTTGTTCACCTTACGTCTTAATTCAGAATTTTTGAAAAGTGTCCTATACTTTGATGCCCCTTTAATCTCACACACACTAATAGAGATGCCAGTCTTCACAGACCCATTCTCTCTCTCTCTCTCTCTCTCTCTCTCTCTCTCTCTCTCTCACACACACACACACACACACACCTTAGAAAGAGCTATTTTCTCTGTTAAACTCACTTAAAGAGACTCAGAAATAACTGACATGTTGATAGGTGCTTCCAAAACCCAAAAGTGGCTACACCAATCAAGAGAAAAGGAAGGTCCCTCAATACCATTGCCACTAACAGGAACCAGGGCTCCTGGAAGAAATGAGTTCTAGGTCTGAGATAAGGAATATACAAGATGATCCTGGAACATGTTATGGTGCCTGAAAGCACAGAAGCTATCACAGACTGGAATGATGTTAAAAGAGCTCAGAAAGCTCCCATTGCCAAAGATGAGTCAGTATGAGCATGAAAAAGAAGAAGGATGGTACTTGATTGAAATAGGATATATAGGGAAGCCCAGGTGGCTCAGCGGTTTAGCGCCACCTTCAGCTTAGGACTTGATCCTGGAGACCCGGGATCCAGTCCCACATCGGGCTCCCTGCATGGAGCCTGCTTCTCCCTCTGCCTGTGTCTCTGCCTCTCTCTCTCCGTGTATCTCATGAATATATAAATAAAATCTTAAAAAAAGAAATAGAATGTATATAAAAATCCATACTCCTTTGTGTTAAGAAAGGAAAATAAATAAAACTGATTTGTCCCCATTCAAACAGTACTCTTTATGAGGGAAAGCTCTTTTTTTTAACTGAAGAATGTCAGCTAATCAAGGTACAAGGAATAATATATTAATAAATGTTGCCATATGATAGTTCCTAATTACATAAGAAATAGATATTCAGATAGTGCCAAAGAATCAGTTACTTACAGGTTACAATGAGAAAAAATAACTACAGCAGTTACTACCCTAACACTGGGATCAATTTTAACAGTACTGATAGTGAGAAAACCAGGCATTAAGGACCTCCTGATGTGATGCAATACGACATACACAACACCACCCATGCAGGAATTCTTGTACTTAGTCTTGGGGTTCTGGGGTGGCTCAGTCCGTTAAGTGTCCAACTCTTCATTTTGGCTCTGGTCATGATCTCAGGGTCATGAGATTGAGCCTGTGTCGAGCTCCTCACTGGAGGATGACTGGAGCTCCAGATGGAGCCTGCCTAAGATTCCCTCTCCTTCTGCCCCTCTACCCCCCCCCCCCGCTCACATTCTCATGTGCACGCTTTCTCTAAAAAAATAAAAAATAAAAAATAAAAAAAAAGCTCAGCCTTAATCTATGAAACACTTTAAATTTAGTTTTCACATTATAGAAAACACAAGAATCAGAGTAATAAATGACATGAGAAAAGAGTAAAATAAATCCAGAAAGTGAAACATTCTACAGGACAATTGATATATTTTTAGTTTATGGAAAATAAAGATAGGAGAGATTGTTCCAAATCAAAAGAAACTTAAGAAACATAATGCCCACATGTAGTATGTGCACTTGGCCTAAATTCTGGTTTGAACAAATCAAAATTATTTGGGGGACAAATGGAGACATTGATTAGTTTTATTAAACATTATAATGAAAGTATAGTTAAGTATGACAATGACTTTATTTTTTAGAGTCACTTCTAAAGCATTTGGGGAAAAATACTAAAACATCTGTATTTTACTTTAAAATACTTCAACAAATACAGCAGATAAAGTAAATATGGCAGAAAAATTATAATTACTAAATCTAGATCATAGATGAATGAGTGGCAGTATAGTACTATTCCAGGGATTTAAATTTTTCCAAACTAAAAAGAATAAAAAAAAAAACTAAAGAAAAAAAAACATTTAAAGTATCTTATTCTGCAGGGTCCAGGCTCTTCCTGTCCCATTTCACTTAGTCATTGATTAAGCTGGCAATACTAAGAACTAATTTGCCAAGGCACTGAGCTAGCCTTCTCCAGCCATTGCCTCATCACTGCCCCCATCTTCCTGCCTGGAAGTTCTACACAGATAAACACAGAGCAGACACAGTGCTGTTGGCCTTGTGAGGCCACCCCTCATGCCCAAGAAAGGTCATCCATCTGGCCTAAGCAGGGATGTTATGTCAACTGCAAACATTTAGGATACTAGAACTGGACTGGCTTTATGGATCACCAAATATGATTCCCTCCCCATTTTACAATGAAAAATCTGATGCTCAGAAAGGTAAAAGAACAGATTCAAGATTTTACAACTCTGTAGCAAGAGCCCAGACTGGAATCCAGGTCTTCTCTGACCTCAGCCTGAGTTTTTTCCTTTACATCACACAACCTCCTGGCTCATTGCACTCTGAACTTCCAGGGCCCTGGGGTGTGCCCATATCTACATCAATGCAAGCCTGAGAGTATATAACAAGGCCAAACTCTTATAGCAAAACTCCAAACAGAAAAAAGCTCCAATGCAGAGAGAAACTGAGAATGGCTTATGGTAGTAGTCTCTTTGAAAATGGGTCATCCTTCTCTGATAGAACCAGGAATCTGTATCTCAGGGGCTGGTGTGTGTACAAGGAGAAGGAGGAGCTGAAGTGCAGAGGAAGCTGACCCAGCAGAGGATATTTATGTCCTAAATTTACTCCAAACTCAGATTTCAGATTCCCCTCTCTAGCCAATCAGGCCCAGGCTTTCTCCTCTCGCAGTATTTCTCTTTCAGTTCCATTTTGTTTTTTGTTTTTTAATTTTTTGTTTTTATTTACTTAGGATAGTCACACAGAGAGAGAGAGGCAGAGACATAGGCAGAGGGAGAAGCAGGCTCCATGCACCGGGAGCCCAACGTGGGATTCAATCCCGGGTCTCCAGGATCGCGCCCTGGGCCAAAGGCAGGCACTAAACCGCTGCGCCACCCAGGGATCCCTTCAGTTCCATTTTGAATCTGAGTTTATACAGCTCAGACCACTTCTGTGCTCCAGGGATGTTGTGGGGTGAAGGGGGTCCCGTGTATGCTGCT